GTTCTCACTGGCTTTTTATAAATGGTCTATTGAAATGTTTTAGAGATTGCTTTCAGATCTTATTTTACTGTACTGCTTTGTTTTATGTTACTTGTGTTTGATTGTATTTTTCTATTGCATGAGCCCTGTTGTACAGCATGATAATCTGCTTGGCTTAGATTGGATGACTAAAGCGCAACACTTTAGTTTGCCTCCAAAACCTTCAAGTCACTAACAGCCAAGAATCTTACCTACAAATTTTGTCAATATCATTAAGCGTTTCATGTTCTATATCTAGACACGCTGTATAAATTTGGTTTCATTTGTCATTATTCAAGAGTGGTCATTAAAACAAAATGGCCGATCGGAGAGTTATTAAAACAAAACCTGCAATATATAATTTTCCCCTTACATACACAATACAGATTTCTTGTACAAGAAAAAAAAGTCAAACAACCTTTTGATTTTATTTTTTATTTGAGACCATTTCAGAAACAATATAGATCTTCAATGTTCATTTACAACTGTTCTGATAGTTCTGAAGCAGGTTCAGCTCATCGGCATTCAACTCATCCCACCGCTTTACGAAACTACACGCTATGATGTACACCGTCCCATCAGATTCCAGATCACCTACAGTGACAGAACACAGAAGCAGGAATGAAAAAGGGACATAAATATGGAGTAAATATTATTTTACTATAAATTGTTTACCTGCGATAATATACTCTGCCCAATCAGTCTGCAAAGTGGCTAAACACCCCAAGGGAGAGTAGACAGCATCAATTCCCCCCACAGGGCCTTTGTACACCTGAATCAAAAGACAAACATATACTAAAAAAAGCTCATCTGTGGACAGAATTTGTTTAGTGAAATCCATACCTCCATGGTATGAACGTTATATTTGATACTTTTCATTGCTCCACTGTCARCCTCCTCCTTTCCAATGACATATGCCCTGATTACTACAAAAACGTAAGCCTCACATTAACAGAAAGATTTGCTACACAATCAGAACATCCCCATTCAAAAAAAGTTGACTAAACTTACCAACATTTGACTTGCAGAGAGCCTCCAAGGCAGGCAACACCGGACAGGGGCAGGGAGGTTCTGCTTCTGCTCCTGYCTCCACTCGCCAAAGAAACAGAATGGCCAGAGAGATGAAACAACTCTTCATTATCTGAGTCATCTTTGGAAACTTAAAGATGATGAAAATGGTGACAGCTGTCAAAGAGACATGCAGAAAGCAGATTTTTCAAAATCTCTTAACAGAGCAGTGAGTTTTATACCCCATTGCTGATAACAGGCTCCGCCCCTCCTGAGGTGAGCGGCCCTTTGAAGGCCGATCTCCTGCAAGTTTTAGAGGTTTCTCTGATCATTGGATCAGAAAAATTAAATTGCTGATTTCTTTGATTCAGCAAACTCTTACTGTGACACATAAAGAGAAGATCAACTAGTTTTAGACCCTGCACACCAGACCGGTCTCTGCAAATGCTAAAATTTACTGGGGTGAATATACAAAAAAATCACACAATTACATGGAACAATTGCAGTAATGCCAGTCTCACTCATGCACTGATCATGCAGCAGCTGCATGATACATTGGACCTGGTGAATAAGCTAACATTCCGTTGGACCTAGGATGCTCTTAATGTTTTGCTTTTACAAGGTGCAAAGGGTGAGTAACACAAAAACCCTCAGGTGTCTGTAATTGTTGTTAGTTTAGAAGAAACGTTTGCTGTGTGTCGGTGGTTTAAACATATTTGCACTGCTGGGTGCTTCTTAAAATCTCCACTCTGAGACCAGCATTCAGAAATCTCTGGGTTCAGAGAGAACGACGGTTGGTGTTGTGTACACGGTTGGCTGAACCACAGGAAAGAACCTGTGGTTTCACACAAAATCTGCATCGTGTAAACAGGGCCTTAGATTGGATCATGACCAGAGGTAGCAGTTCAACAATCTGAGTCAGCTTTGGAACTTATAAAATGTCAAAAATGGAGCCAGCTGTCAAAGAGTGATGAAGTCAACCTGAAAGCAGCTTGGACATTTTAGTAGTTCTCCTCTTGAACAGAATCCTCAAGGTACATCAGGCGCCACCACTGCCTTGCAGACAAAAAGCTCCACAAAGCACTGAGAGGTCAGGAGCTCTCAAATTTTCACAATCAGCTAATTTTATCATTCTGTGTGACCCTTGAAGGGAAGGACAACTKGTTTTAAGTTGGACCATRACCAGAGGCMCTTTAACCCCAMCTTAGACCAGTGCTCTGTGATGBTGGAGGTCAGGACTGTGGGGTGTGAAACAGCAAAATGGGAACCATTGAAACTACCTGCTGGTGGCCGATGTTTGGCATAATTGTCACTAGTTAAACCATAAACATACATATATAAAAGCACTTCTCTTCTATACAGCATTTTCATAACGACTGAAGCTAACAGTAGCTGCGTTTGCATTGCAAATGTGCGCAAAACTTTGTCGATATTCTGTTAATGTCGAAAAACACAGTTTCACAACTGCGGTGTTTCCATTAAGTAAGAAATGCTATTAAAGTCACACGTGAATATGTTTGTTCTTGCGATAAGTCATTACAAACATGGCGGCGATGGATGTAAACACATAGTGTGTTGCTACTGCGACACTAGCGCTCATCATCAGAGGAGAGAGAGAGAGAGAGAGAGAGAGAGAGAGAGAGAGAGAGAGAGAGAGAGAGAGAGTGGGGGGTGTAAAAAAGATGTCCAAAAATAAAAAAGAATTTTGGGCCAATTAAAGAGGTTAACATAACAAACGAATGAAATGAAAAATTAACCAATTACTGATAAAACTTAAAGTAACATATCATTTTAATACAAGAAAATTTTTACAATTTCAAAATAATAAACTATTGTAAAACATAAAAACATTGAATTATAAAGTTAAACTTGTCCCTGCGCAGACATGCAACATGATGTGACCTCATGCAGCTGACTTGTTGCAGATAGTGGGGCTGTTTACACTGAGGGGCAGGACAAATGCAGCAGCCTCTCCAAAGGAACTGACAACTCAATGTATCAAAAAGTTCAATTATTGCAACAGATAAAATAAATTACAAAATGTTAACAGGTGTGCACTCTAATTCCCCTAACATCAAATGATGCAACAGTGTTTGATTAAACTACATAAGTGCTTAAATGCTAAATTATTTAACTTAGATTAATGAAATTTGTACATTTATCAGAAACAAACCCATAAGACACCAAACAGATACTAAAATAGTGACATTCAGCAACCGTGGTGTCGGTCCAGTCCCCTCAGCTTGTCACCGTTAAAAAACATTATATCAGCAGGATCACTGTGTAAATGTCTGCTGATCTGCAGCYGGGCCAGCTGTCTCCTTAAATGATGAGGACTGATATGAAAATTATCTGTAAAAGACAAACAAATCGCAATTTCAGTCTGAGTAATGATACAAAAATGATAAAATTATGTATACTATGATAAGAATCTTGACTGGAGCTCTGATAAGGCCAAACAATAAAGTTTTAAAAGATTTATTGTTCTCTAAAATGAATAAGGTGATGGTCTGGTTCAGCGCAGGATCTGGGACGGTCAACTTTAAACACAGGAGAACAGGTTTAGTGGTGAGACAAGGCTGGAGAATGGTAATATAGAAAAACAAAGCCACTAACTTGTTCTTAACTGGTTGGGTCCAACAGGAGACACAGATTGTATTGACTTGGTTCCGGTGGAGTTTGCTGATGTCACCGTTAGTTTCAGTTTCAAACTTTGGTCTGTAGCACTGAGACTGAGTCACGGGACAGGCAGGGGTCATACACAGAAATCCAACAGCAGTTGGACAGTCAAGATTCTTGGTTCCGTGAGGCAGGCGTGGGTCGAGATCCAGGAAGTCAGATAGAGCGAGGTGCCGTTCCAGGGTGAGAGGAGAGACAGGAATCCAAAAATCAAAACAAGGGTCAATACTGTGGAAGCAGACGGCTGGAAAAATCCGACAGGGGCTGAGGAAGGAATCGTAAGACCAATCGTAAGTCAATAAACACAGGACTTCTCATTATTTATTTGCATTTTCAGATTTACTGTCCTGATCCCTGCTACAGAAATTATTCCACTTTGTAGACAACTCCCAAAATATATCCCAAAAATAAACATTTTAAAGTATTTGTGGTRTCTTTTTAGTTGGCAGATTGCAGAAAAGCCTAAAGTTCCATACTTCCACCTATTGTGTTCGTATGTAACTTAAACTAATAGAAACACACATCTCTAAATTGGATAATGATATTCTCCACACTACAGTTTTAAAAAAAAAAACTCAAAAAGTTTTTTTTGTGGATAATTTTTATTTTAGATCGCATCTGAGAAATTATGGATMTTCAATGTTCAACTACAGTTGTTMTGATAGTTCTGAAGCAGGTTCAGCTCAGCGGCACTCAACTCATCCCACAGCTTTATGAAGTTACACATTGAGATATCAACAATCCCATCGACTTCCAGCCGGCCTACAGTAAGAATGAAGAAACGGCAAATTATGAAATAGCAATGAATAGTTATTCATTTTGCCATGACTTTCTACCTGTGATAAGATACTCTTTTCCATCAGTTTGCAGATCGGCTCTACACGGTGGAGAACTGTAGACACCACCAGTTCCCTCCGGGCCTTTGAATATCTAAAAAAAGAAAAGAAAAAAGAAAAACTGAAAGACAATTTCGATAATCAAAAAAAAAAAAAAAAAAAAAAAACACGACAGTTTATTTTAACCCATACCTCAATAATGTCAAGGTCATATTTGATTGTATAACTATTTCCAAAGTTTTCAATCTCCTGCCTTCCAGTGACATTTACCCTGAAAACTAGAATAAAAAAAAAAACATTGACATGGTTTAGCATAAGTTGGCAAAAATGTTGACAAAGCCGAGATTTCAAGTCTACATAATGTTTTAAAGTCAAACTTTTAAGATACAGAATGCAGATAAGTCGAGTCTTTACAGTTCACAGAGAAATTCAGTTACAAGAAAGAGAGAGAAGTGGGGAAAACAGCAAGGAATGACCTTAAACAATCCTTGGAAGAGAATTAAAC